TGAAATTGCCTCCATCATCAGTATAACACAAAACCAATTCTCATGAAGCCAGACATGTTTCCTAGTTCCTCTACCTATTTCTACCAATTCCAAGGCCAATCCTATGGTTCTGTTGGGTCTGAAGTCTGTTGCAATAGTTACACAGACCTCACAGAACCATTCTTACAATTATGGGTTTTATTAGAGAAATTAACAGGTTACAACCCAAGTTGGCAACAGGATACCACTTCTCAGTCAGGACAGCTTCCGAAGCATGCCTGCAGGCCCTTCAGCCTTCAGCCTTGCAGCTTTAGGCCAGAGTTACAAAGTTCTCATAGTCCCGGCAATTAAGGCTTCACCCCTCCCCCTCTAGTCCTCCAGGAAACTTGTCCAAAGGTCCCTGGATCTGGCTCCATGAAGCAGCTGCTCCAGATCAATTCTGTCTCATGCCAGATCTCTGGTTCCCTGCTGTGGCTCTCCTGTAGGGTCTGGCTGGTTCAAGAATCTCTGGTATCCCCCCAGAAATGCTCTGCATTCTCTGCTTCTTCTTTCTTGAGTGAAATTCTCAGATATCTCCAATTTCTTCCACTGAGCATGCTCAATTTAAACCTTCTGGGTTGTTGAGTCTAGCTAATCCTATTGCAGATAGTCTAACACACCCTATTTACATATATTTGCTCACTCATGTGGTAACATTAACAACAATGGCCTGGGAAAGTCATTTTGAAGAATAGACTCACTATACCTTATGTTATCATGGGATTTTGCTACCTAGGTGAAAGAAAACATTTTGAACAATAGATCCACTGCACCGTACCTTATTATGGTATTAACTAACTAGGTGAAAGAAATAATTCAAGAAGCTGGACTATATGAAGAATGAGGCATAAAGATTGGTGGAAGAACTATCAACATTCTGGCCTTATCCTGCTTTCTTGTTTCTTCTTCCACAGCCTGGTTGGTAGGAGAGTCAGAGGAAGGCCCAAAGGCCTAGTGCAGTGGTGAAAGTCATATTTGCTGGAGAGAGGAAAGGCTGGGTGACTTTTGTCCTATTGCTGCAGAAGGGGTAGGTGCTGTGTTGGGTGGTATAAGCAAAGGGCATCATGTAAGGCACTATCTGGTAAAGAACAAGCAAAGTCCAACTCTAATGAGCACAGCATCCATGATCACCATAATCTCAACTCCCAGTACCAACTCAACACCAGGCAAATCTAGCAGCCCATCTAAGGTCTTTTATGGCAAAGTGAATAATCTTTAATTCCTCAATCTCTGTTCTCCCAAATCTAGCCCAAGATACTCTTCTTTTACCCCATATTCAGGGTTGTTTTCTTAATCCTTGGCGGTCCCACTATAGCCACTTGAAACTCCACATTTTCGTGTAATCCATTTACCATTTATCTGTCACTTGTACTAAAGGAAAAGTGGAGCTATTTTGTATCTATTCATCATATGTATTCAATTTTTATGGTCATCAAATAGTACAAGAATCTGGGATATATGAAGAAGGGTGCATCATAAGGATGGGTGAAGATCACCAACAGCCTGCACTGCCGAGGTGACACAATATTGCTTGTTGAACGTGGAGAAGTGTGACATGGTGACTCTTTTGTTCTAAATAGTTTCCCTGGGTCAATGCCTTTGACTTTGCCACATGACTGAATGGGAATATAAAACTAGGATGTGCAAAACTACACATAATGAGATCATCAATTTTACCATCTTTCCCAGTTTATATTGAGTAGGTTTGTTAACAGAAAAGAGCAATCAAACTACCAGCAGGAAAAAAACCCCACAGAACACACTGTGTGTCCTTCGGGTTAGTCAGACCAGGACCCAGGGGAGAGTACTATCAGCAGTAGCAGCAGTGGAGAACAATACTGAAGTGAGAGAGAGCTGACCTGGGGTTGCTGCCCCATTGAGCCAGAACCAGGGACTTTGCCCAAGCTTGTTAGGGGACTTGGAGGTGGAGAAGCATCACAATGGGCAGGCCTAAGAGAGCTTTGTAAGCTTGTATAGCTGTTCTTACTGAAGAATTACATTGTTTCTAACCTGAATTGTAACCTGTTAACTTGGCTAATAAACCCCATAACTATGGTTCTGTGAGTTCTGTGTGGCCACTGCAATTGAATATCAGACCCAGTAATAAAAACAGCAGTGAGAGCCCTGAGAGCGGGTACTGATAGAAGTAGATGCAGGAGATTGGAGGCCATGTCTGACCTCTTGTTGTTGTTGTTGTTGTTAGGTGCCGTCGAGTTGTAGACAACTCATAGCAACCCTATGAACGAAAGGCCTGAGCACTCTTGGTCCATAGAGTTTCCGGAGGCAAGCCATTTCAGATGTGGATGCTGCTCCTGGTTCCAGGCTTGTTTTAGTCGGGAAGCTCCAGCCAACACTGTCCACCATGGGTACCCATCACCACGATTGGCACATCACGGTCACAATGTTCAGCATCACAGCAACCACGAGTTACCTCTGTACAGCAATGCACACAAACCAGTGCTATACCACCCAGAAGAATGGTCCGACCTCTTAGAAATCAGTTTTATGCTTTGGATGATATGGATTGATATTGCTTCCCCTGTGGAGTTAATGGAGGTCAGATGTAGATGCCTCCTCCATGTTGTCCCCACTGTTTTTAGCAAGAGAGCTTCATGCACTTTCTGAAGATTAAAGTCTATAGCCCTTAGTGTAGATTACACTTCAACATCAAGAAAATAAAAATTCTCACAACTGGACCAAGAAGCATGATAAATGGAGAAGACATTGAAGTTGTCAATGATTTAATTTTACCTGGATAGACAACAATCAACATTCATGGTAGCAGCAGTCAAGGAATTAAAATAGGTGTCACAATGGGAAAATCTGCTGCCAAGAACTCCTTCAAAGTACTTTAAGTTCAAGGACGTCAGTTTAAAAACTAAAGTCCTGACCCACTCCAGGTTATTTTTCAGTTGCTTTATATGCACATGAAATTTGGACATTGAGTAAGAAGGATTGAAGAAGAAAGAATGCCTTTAAAATGTGATGTTGGTGAAGAGTATTGGGAATCCCATGGACCATCAAAAGAAGAAATGAATCTTTCTTGGAAGAAGTACAACTGAGGTGTCCTTAGAGGGAAGGATGGTGAAACTTTGTCTAACATATTTTGAGCATGTCTTTAGGAGTGTCTAGTCCTTAGAAAGGGTCACCATGCTTTGAATGGTGAAGGGTCAGAGAAAAAGGAAGACCCTCAAGGAAATGGATTGACAAAGTTACCCCAACAATGGGCTTAAATTGGAGATGATGAAGACGGCACAATATTGGGAAAAGTTTTGATCTGTTTTACATAATGTCTAGGTGCAAAAAGAAAAAGTAAAAATGAATGCTGTTAAATCAGAACCAATTCATAGTTGACCCTCCACTGGGTTCCCAAGGCTGTAAATTGCAGGGGAGGAGATGAGTTGGTATCAGCTCAACAGTACCCAACAACAATTATGACCTGTTAAGTGTTCTGCCACCACTAAACACTGGCTCCCATTCACCACAATGGATCCTTCTCGTTGCCATTCTTTCCTCTTTGTTCCTATTCCTTATCAAGCCATTTATGTTCTATTTCTCTTACTAAAATAATTTTCATTTCACCTCTTCTAAAAGTCTGAGAGTTTTATACAGATTGATTCTGTGGACTTTGTTCCAGTAATTTGGTTGTTACAAGGCATCCTTTCACACGGATTCAGCCTTTACCACTTAAGTATTCTTACATCTATCCTCAGAACAGCCCTGTGGGAACAAGTATTAATAGCTCTATTCCACCTATGAGCAATGTAAGTCTCAGCATAATAACTTACTCAACACTGCCTTGCTGATAAAATGTGTAATCCCAACTCAAATCCCACAGGTTCTCTGAAGCCTCTAGAGCAGTTCCTGCTTCTCCTCCAGCTACCACTCTCATTAAGAAGCACTTGTTTCTGTTAATGTAGTCCTTCCCGGTTTGTACCTTCCTGTTGGTGTCAATTGTACATGTAGTCAAGTATTTATTGATTCTCCTCTATGTGAGTAAGGAGAGAATAGTCCTTCCTTTGATAGTCCCTCAGAATCCAGAATCTGTTTCCGGCAACCTGGAGTGGGAGCAGGCATTGTTGACACAGATCTTTGTCGCCTTGAGTGCATGGCAGTCCCCATGGATGGTGGAGGTGGGTAGAAAGGCAGTAATAGTAACAAATAGCAGCTGCCGTTTATTAAGCACTTACCCAGGGATGGGCATTGTGCCAGTTCTTTATTTACATTTTTTCAGCCCTCCTTACAAAATTCCAAGGGAGGTTTTCTTATTTGCAAATGAGGGAACTAATGCTCAGAGATGTGGAGTCAACCACATCTGTCTGGAACCCACATCTGTCAGGCTCCAAAGGAGAACATAAATAATGGAATTCAATTTCTACTTTAAAAATACACATTCATATCCTTCATTCCCTGAAGGCCCATCCTACCCTTGACTCTTCCTTCCCCAGAAAAGAAAATTCAGGGAGAGGAAAGCAAGGCAGGATGCACCACACACACACACACACACACACACACACACACACTCACACTCACACTCACACTCACACATACACATCACATATACCTATCACCACCACCCTGAATTTCCTAGCTAGGGTAAGGTTTTTGAGGGGTGGGGTCAGTTTTTCCAGAACCATAATCCTCGTCCTTTTCCCTGCTACTTAAACAAAAGTGAATAAATACTAAATAAATACTGCTGGAGCCCACCTGCCTTCTCCCTCCCTCCTATGACCAGCAGGGCAGAGGGGGCAGTTTAGATGAGGGACTGTGCCAGCCCCCTTGGATCCACCAACCTGCCACTGCCTCCCAGGGCAGGACACCAGGGCAGGGCCAGCCTGCACATTAGGGCAGAGAGGATGAGTGAGTCTCAGCCCACACCTTTCCCCACTCTGTCTTGTTATGAGGCAGCTATTGGAGCCCCTCTTTCACCCAACTGAATCTGAGGCCCCGGTGCCCAGAAAGGGGCAACCGGGATGATGAGGTTATTTCCTGCCTGCCCACGAGCGCCGCCGGAGGATCTCCAGGATTTGGGCCTTGCGGTGTAGCCAGTCCTGCGGAGTGGGGCGTGCTGTTGGAGGGGTGGGCCGGGGCACAAAGAAGCTGTATCGGAGGCGAGTGTTCTGGGGGTTGCCAGCCACCAGGGCCTGCAGCGTCAAGGGCTGGGCCAGTGGCCCATGGCCTGACAGTGTCTCCGAGGCTGCGGTGGCTCCACTGTAACGCAGACTTACTGCCCCAGGCAGTGCCACGTCAGTAGGGGAGGGCATCAGCGTGTATTCGCCATTGAGGGCATAGGAGCCGTCTGGGAGCTTCAGGGCCAGGTAGATGTTATGGAGGCCAGGGGTTCCCTGCTGCCGGACAAGGATGTGGGTGGCCCCCGCAGGGATAGTGACCACATTGTTGTAGCCATACCTGTGCAGAAGGAAAATGTAGGGGAGCTCAGCATTTTCCCGAGTTCCCCTGGCCATTCTTGAGCTCTATTTAAGAGTGTATGTGTGTACATGTATCGTGTTTGCTCAGACCTATGTGAGTCATGCAGGTCAGATCGGAGCTACAAGCAAATGTGCCCCTTCTCGTCTCTGGATTTTTCTACCTACCACCGCTTTATCCGAGTGCCCTTTTACACATTACCCACTTGGGGTCTACCCAATTCTAATACTCCCTCCAAGACTCAGCTCAGTTTCTGGGGATCTCTTCCCTGAAGCCTTAAAGGACCTTGGCCTCAGCACCCTGAGCTGATATCCATTAAACATATATGGAACTGTACTATACCTAACTCTTCTGTCTCCCTCAGTTTACCTTTGTATTCCCAGGACCTAGGATAGTGTTCAGGGAAACAGAGGAGATCAATGGCAGTCAAACCTGAATTTTTTGAAGGAGCCTGATTGCTTGCTGCAGCTGGAGCCATCCCCACCACACACCATGCACTTGTCAAACTTCTTTTTGGATCCAATGATGTGGTCACAGCCGGCATGGATGCATCGGCCCTGGACACAGACTGAGGAGCTGTCTGGGGAACAGGGGGTTCCGTCTACCACCTGAGAAGAGAAGGAACCATGCAAAAGTTTCTTCCTAAGTTGGGGGGGTGGTTGGTGAGTGAAACAAAACCCATACCTATAGAGAAGAAGTGGCAGAAGCTGAATAGGCTAGAAGATGCGGCTGATAAGGAAGGAAGGCCCCCTGCTACCATACATGAGGATAATCTTAATACTAATTATAAAAGTCACCATTTCCAGAATATTCCCTGAGAATCAGGCACTGTGTTAAGTGTTTTGTAAACAAGAATATAAATCTCACATCAATCACTGGAAGTTTCTACAGATGGAACACGAAGGTTTAGAAAGACTGCGTCATGTACAAAGGTTACATACACAGCTGACAAGTCCTAAACACCAAACCCTAAATCTTGATGGAACTGCTCGCAGATGGACACTAGAGGGCAGCCAACATGCAGGAATTCCCTAGAATAGGGTTGAAAGGAGCAAAACTTATTCTCCTTTCAGTCCTTCTATGGCCCTATCACAAAGAGAACAGCTACATTGCTATCCCTAGGAGGCCTTCCCATTGAAGGACAGGCCATCAATGAGCTGGACGGGGCCACCACCGTAATTTGACAGAGAAGCCCCAGCAAGGGAGGCAAAGACTTTTTCAAAAGGCCACACACTCCCATAATCACCAAGTGGTGTGTGCTGGAAGATTGTTAGAGAGAAGAGAAGAAGCAGAGACATGAGACAGGCTAGAGTTGCCTGGTTGGTAACTTAGCCAAAGTCTAGGGCTTTTTTCCCCCTATTGCCTATGGACAGGTTAAATTGGAGAGGACCCACTGGCATAGTGTGGCAATGTCAGCAATGGTGTTATTTTGGAGGATGCTTGCCATTAGAGAATAGGACTGTTGGAAAGTGTGTCAACATAGACAGGACCCAGGGCCTGACAGCATAGACTGGTCCTCACCCGAGGTTCCAGCACGTAGTAGTAGCCCAGTGCCCTGGCTTGGCAGGTGAGCTTGCACTGGTCCCGGGCAGCCACCCCTGTGTAGCGAGGGACCCAGTCCATGGGTCCTGGGAAGCTCTTGAAGAGGTCAGTGCGGTGATTGTAGGCAGCACACTGCTCCTCACGGAAGGTCAATGCTGGAGAGATAAATGCACAGTCAAGGTCCTCCCCTCACACACTGCTCCAGGAGGCCCCTCTACCAAGCCTCTTGTTCCTCTACGTGGTACTGCACCTCTATCCTTTAATGGACAGTCAGAACAGGTGCTGAAGCATAAAGTTACCACCCTACGACAGGCTATTGGACACTCCCTCGGTCCCAGCGCCCAACAAGCAGTCCGTCCTACTCTACCATCCTCTCTCAAAGGCTCCCAAGCCCTCCCACGCCTCACCTGAACCAGTTGGGCAGTCCTGGGTACTGCAGGAACGGAAGCGCGTACGGCGGCCCTCACAGTACTTGCCACCATTTCGGGGAACAGGTCGTGTGCAGTCCCGGGAGGAGAACTGGACACCACCACCACAGCTCCGAGAACAGTCACCCCATGGCCCCCAAGGACCCCAGCCGCCAGCCTGAGGAATCTGCAGAGGCACAGCATAGGAGGGTTGAATAAGGGCTCGCTCTCTCAGGCTCAAGGACAGTCCCTCAGCCCCCACCTTGCCCTGGGCTCTCACATTGAAGTCCTTGAGCTGGTCGACGTGGAGGCAGCGGCCACCCATGCAGGCCTGGGTTGGACCACAGGCAGTGCCATCAGCCCAGGGTGAGTGTTTGGTCTGGCACATGGCGTGGCCATTGAGGTGTCCTGAACACCAGAGTGCAGCACAGGGTGGCGGCAGCTGTGGACAGTGGCGTGAGTCGGGCCCGAAAGTCAGCTGGCACTGGCGGTCAGCGTCATAATCCTTGCCAGGGAAAGTCGCAGGCAAATGCAGGGGAGCTTCTGGCTTGTCTAAAAGACAGTGCCCTGGAATGGGGTTGGGACATGAGGTCAGCAAGGAGTGGAGGGGAGGACCCTCTAGTGCAAAAACAACAGAAACAGGCTCCCTTGGGGCTAATGAAGCCTAAAATCCAGAGCCTGGGACTGGAAAGGGCTTTTAATAAAAGCTACAAATTACTGAATTATGTGATGGTGAATGTTATGTGATAGTGAGTCTTAACTAAATGCTTGGCCAGCATACTCTCATTTAATCATGGCAAACATGGTAATTACTGTTATACCTTTATAGACCTGCTACAAATAGAAGTTAAGTAACTCACACATTTAAGGAACAAAACTCGAATGACTGACTAACTGACTTCCTTCGAGTTAGACTCAGAGCTGACCCTCCCGTGTGTTTACAGAGGCCGTAGGATAGGGATAAATGATCTTTCTTCCATGAAGCCACTGGTGGGTTTGAACTGCCTATGCCACTCCTTACCGCTAGGCTACCAGAGCTCATTCTAACCAACTGCAGAATTCTTGAATTAGCCTCTCAGAAGTCACTCTGACCAGTAGTAGTCACCCCTAGCTGCATGCCCACCTTGAGCTCCTCTATAGGCAGCCCATTTGTGTTGGACAGTTGTGGTTTTTAAAAGGTTAGTTCTAATCCTCTTGAATCAAAATCTGCCTTCCTTTAGGCACTGTTATTTACTCTGGGAGGAAGCAGGGACCACACAGACAGTAGCGTTTCTCCCCCACAGTACAGAGGAAACACACTTGGTGAGTCAGCTTGGCCTGTGTGGATGTGGCAGAAGCGAGAGGATAGGGGGACAGGAACAGAGACTAACAGGGAAGGGTGAGTGCCATCTGCTTACCATAGCCATTGTCCAGGAAGTCAGTGATGAAGCGGGCACTACAGGGGGACCAGGGCTCTTCGGGGTCCACATGAGCCATTACAGGAGCCATCACATGGCGAGAGTTGCTCCCAGGGTCATTCAGACCGACGCATGGCTTTGAGTTGTCATGAAGCATGTTGAAGACATGGCCTGTGAGAGGAGAAGGCATGCTAGGCAACCAGGGTCTCCCCCTGAGCCCTCAGGAAGCTGTGAGCCATCACGGAACCAGCTGCAGCCGAGGATGCTCCATTCCCTCTCCAACCTAGACTAAACCTTTCTAGTGCTCTAAGGGTAGAGCCTTTCTCATTGCTCTACCAAAATACACTCAGCTCCCCCCTAACTTTTCTTTATAACCAACATTTCTACCTTGTGCTTACCTGTTGTCACTAATTAAGAGATATTAATAATACCTTTCTTAAAACAGTACTCTTTCCTCAAATACACACACATACACACAAGAGTAGGATTCCACCCTCTAGAACATTCTGTAGGAAAATCTAAATGTTACTTTTACCCAAAGCAAAGAAGCAGGCTAACAGCTCCCTAGACTTAGGCCTGGGGAGCAGAGAGGAAGCAATATCCCTATTGTACACTCTGGTGAGCTCACTCTTCCCTCACCCATCCCGGATACATCTCGTACCCACCCCAGGTTCCCCATGTCCTCTTTACCCAGTTCATGGGCAGCAGTGAAGGCTGACTGAAGCCCATCGTCCTCCACGATGGCACAGCTCCGAGCCGGGTCACACACGGTGCCCACGTCAGCCATGCCCAGAGTGTCACAAGTGGAGACTCCACATAGGTCCTGTTGAGAGAGACCACAGGAGATGAGCAGGGCTGAGGAGATGAGGCAGACATCACCCCAGTTTTGGTGGTGTGGTTGGGGCCAGGGCACCGTGTTGTACAACTCTAAGGATACCAATCATATAATAGTGCTTTTTTTGGAGTTGTGTGGTACTGATGGGGGCCTCACCTGACGGGTAAACAAAATGGCGGTGTCAAAGTGGTCAGAGTCCGAGTCTTCAGGGGTGTTGAGGCCCCTCTGCCAGGCACAGAAGCTGCGCAGGGTTTGGGCAGCGCTGGCTCCCACCTGGGGGCCCTCTTCACCCGGACCCAGTATCACTAGCCGGGTCACCACCAAGCTGACAGGGTTGCGGATGCTTGGGTGCTTGAAGGCCTTGGCAGCAGCTGCCATGACCGTCAGCAGGTAGCGTTTTAGTCCTGAACCATGAAATGCCACCATCTTGTCATCTGCGACCACCAGGGTCTCCACGAACCTACTTAGTGAAGCAAAGCGCTGAAGAGACAAAAAAAAAAAAAAAAGAAAGGAAAGAGGAGGATCTTGAAAATAGCTTCTCAAACTTGTGGTTCACTTCTCCCCTCCCTCACTTCCTGGGTCTGGAACTCAGCACAGACAGCTGGGGCCTGCACACCCCACGGGATTCCTAGCTTGTCGTGATTGGGCCCTCCCTCCAACCCCAAATCCCAAGGCTTTTGCGGTAATTCTGAGCAATCAGCTGTTGGTTCTGAGCAGGGGAGGAGGAGAGGATGCCACGTCCCAGGGCTGTGTGTGAGACCCAGAGGTGAAAAGCAGTTAGGACTGCCTCAGGGAGGGGCTTGGGGGTCCCTCAGGCCTGAGTGTGGCAGGGGCCTGCGGGGCTGGGACGAGCAGGCTGGGCTGCAACGTGTCTGCCCTGTGTGGTCGCAGGAACAATTCAGTCAGCAGCTAGGGCCAGGGCCAGATCTCAGCGTGGCGGGTGTGGAGAGAGCCCAGGGAGCAACGTCTGGTCTGGATTAAAGTTAGAGAAGGGGGGAGGGAAGAAGAAAGGGAGGAAGGGGGAAGAGTCAGAGTGGAAGGGAGGGAAGGATGGAGCCTGGGGCAGCCTCCAAGTCAGTCCACAGTGTGGGAAGGGGATTGACCACAGGAGGCGTGGGATAGCTTCCTTGCTTTCCCACTCATGCCCTAGTTTATAGTTTACCAGGACAATTTTTAAGGCAGCATCAGCAGCCAGAGGCCAATTCTCTAGAGCTTCAAACCTCAGTCCTTTAAGCTGGAGGGGGGAGGGGGTAGTGAAAACCAAATTAGGGGCAGAGGAAAGAGTCAAGGCCAAGGAGCTAGCAGTTGAGCCTTATTGCCAGCAGGGAGTTTGCCAGCAGGGGATGCCCTGGCCAGGCGGGGGTGGGGAGAGGTCACTCCCAATCCAGAGTCTCTGACCCACTTCTGGGAACTTGAAGTTAGGATTTGGTAGGCTGAGAGACAAGGAAGAGGATAGCCTTTTTCTATTCCAGCTGTCCTTGACTTTTTTGTTAGGAGGATCCCCAAGAAAGGGTGCTAGAGGAAAGAGAGGCAAGAGTAAAGAAGAAAAATGGTCAGAGTGGAAGAGGGTGGGGAGAGGGTGAATAAGGGTCAGTAGGACAAACATGGCAGGAGAACACAGAGGGACACAGACTATGGGTCTGCCTACCTTGGCTCTTCGGGGCCTGGGGTCAGGGCTCTCTGGAGGAGCTTTGACGTTGCACATGGGCCCCTGGCCGATGGCAGGACTCTTCCGGCGTAGGACATGAGCTCCAGGTCCCCCAGCAGAGTTAGGGTTGCCCCCTTCCAGCGGCTGGAGATGGAGCTCAGACCCTCGATATTGCAGCACCCCTAATAGAGCTCCCCCATCCCAGTGTAGAGATGCCACTGATTCAGGATCGCCATTGATGGTACCTGTCAGGTAGGTGCCTGACTCAACCTCACCAAGCATCTCAGGCGCCTGGCCCAAGTACTGAACCGTCAGCCCCTCAACTCGCACGCCAGGGTCCTGCTCCAGCTCTAGTAGCAGTATCTCCCCAAAGGCTGGCAAGCGGTATACCAGCCTGGCAGGAGCACCCGAACCCGGCAGGATACTGCCGTTGATCTTCTCAGGAAACACGATCTCCTCCTCCCGTGGGAGGAGGCTGGCTGGCCAGGCTGAGGGCAGGAGGGAGCTTAGCAGCAAGAGCAGCCAGAGCAGCAACCTTTGCTGCCCCAGCCCTGATAGGGGCGCTTTGGGAAGCAGCAGGTCGAATTGGATTCCCCAGGACCAGCGCTCCTCCAAGTCCCTCCAGGGAAGCCCGGTGTAGGTCATGGCACTGGTGCCGCAGCTAAGAGGGAGTAAAGCGTCTGGGGCTCTCAGTTCTCCACACCCTGGCTTTGGAAAAACTTTCTGCAGCCCGGGGCCCCAACTCCTGCTCGGATAGAGGCAAAATTTTCAGAGGTGCTAGGGACCTTTCGAAGAGGTGGAGAAAACTTGGCTGCTAGGCTGAGGGGGTTTCTCCTGTGGTCTGGCTTCTCCAAACTCTCCTCTGGCGCCTGTCTCTCCAGGAGCTTTGTCTGCCTGCCTGCGCCTTCTGTTGCTTCTCTTGCCTGTTGCTCTGTAAGCCTCTGTAAGACTGTCTTGCTTCGTCTCTGTGACTGCCCTTTCTGTCTGCCTCCTTCCGCTGTGCCTTTGTCTCTGTTTCTCTCCTCCTCTGTGTCTATGTGTCTTAAGTTCTCTCCACTCTCTCTCCGCGCCAGCTCCTTTAAGCATCCTGAGCCTCTGTGATTGGCTGAGCTGTAAGCCACTCAGCCGGGAGCTCTGCTGGTGAGACTCAGATGGATGTCTCATTGCTTCCCAAAATCCTACTTTTTGTTTTTCTTTAAAAAGAAAGAAAGAGACTTGCCCCCCCTTTTTTTTGGGGGGGAGTGGATCTAGCAACCGGATGGGTCACAGGCAGTGGGCCAGCTGATGACAGTTTTTCCCAGACCCCACAACTGGCCTGGTTCTCAGCTGTCTTTCTCTTTTTGATGGGACAAAGCCCCTGGAGGGTTAGGAAGTTGGGGAAAGGGCCTGGCAAACACGCACAGAAAGTACTATGGCCCTGAGAGAATTCTGCTCCCATATCTAAACTAGTAAGACCTCCCTTTTCTCAGGGTTTCCTCAAGCCCCCCTCTGCCCCTTAAAGCTGGTTTCCAAGGCTAGACTGCTGGGGAAAATGGATGAGGGATAGGTAAGGAAGCAGAGAACAGAACAAAGGAAGGAGGTAGGGAGCCTTGGCAAAGTTCACTATGGGACAAAGGGAATATAGAGGAGTGGGGGAGACAATGATCCAGGAGTTTTATTGCCTGAAGGTGGGATGATTCTAGCTCTCAGAGGGGGTGGATGACAAGGCAGGAGGTGCAAGGGAGGGACGTTTCCTTTCATAAGAGGATAAAAAAAAAAAGATGATCCAAGGCAGTACCCCCTTCCCATTCTCTAACATACTTTTGCTCCCTCAGGCTTCGTTTTCCTGCTTTATCTCTACCCACCAACTCCAAAGCTCTCAGCAACCATTCTGCCTCTGGTTCTCTGTAGCTCTATTTCCTGACTCCCCTTTTCCTGGCACAGCTCCCAGCAGCTTCCACTAGGCTCTTGGCCCTGATGCTACCCACTCTCAACTGCTCTAAACTCACCTCTAGCCAGACACCCCAGGCCCCCCTCCCCCCCGCACTGAAAGGACTTGCTCTCAGGAGTACAGATGCATCTAAGGTCAATCTAAGGGCACCCCAACCTTGCTTCCTCCCTTGGCCCCATCTTGTCGTAAGAACCAGATCTTTCTGGAAATAGCTAGTTATTTTGTTTCCCATGGGACAGGTGGAGAGTAGAGGTTTTGTGTGGCATCGAGTCAGAACCAATCCATAGCTGACTCTCCAATAGATTTTCAGAGGTAGTTAATCACATGGGGAGAGAATGCCCATCCTTCTCTCTCAGAGCAGCTGGTGGATTTGAACCACTTGCCTTTGGTATTGCAGAATAACTTCTTACCATTGTTGCTTGTTGTTATTCCAAGGGAGTAAGTTGAGCAATTTCCTCTTGTGTGATTTACTGCCTTTGAAAAGCCACTGGAGGGTCAGCTATGGGTTGATTCCGATGGTACAATTTAAAAGTACTGGGCAAAACTTGACCTCAATGTACAGAATGGGAAGAGGTAGTGTTAGGGATAAGACGCAAAATTATTTTCTTGGTTCTGGACTGCGGGAATTCAGAAAACTGTCAAGGTGACTCAGTAAAGGGAACTGAAATAGAAGCAATTTCTGCTTCTCCCACCTCATACCTATTTGTTTTCCCAGGAAATCCCGAGGAAGGAGAGTACAGTCAGCGGCCCTTTCCCTTCCACATAGGTGGGCCCCTACTCCCCTATTCACTTTTTGCCTTGTCACCTCCTGTCCCCTACATCATATCCTCTGAGTACTTCCTCTCTCCTCCCTTCCTGCTCAGGTCACTAACACCTGCCCTGGTGCCCATCAGTTCCTGCACCACCTACTCCCCTGAGACTTCCAGACCCACCTCATAACTCACTTTTGTCCTAACCCTGGTCCTAAACTATAGCACTGGGGTTGGAGGAGTCAGGCAAGGGATGGGAGGCTAGCAGAGGCAGGGGCAAGAGGAGCTATCCCCAGAGGGTTCCTACTGCCTCTTTCCACCCCCATCATAGATGAGGACAAAGGGGGTGACTAAGCAGTGAAAGACAAAGGGCTTTAGAGTCACAGTAGCAGAGTGTGTAGTGGGTGTGGGCAGCAGAGAGAAACACAAAAGATGCAGTGTCTCAGGAACCCCCCAGGAGCCTTCACCACAGTTCCAGCTCAAGCTGTCCCCAGGGTTAAGCAGCCCAGAATCTATACTGCCTTCTCTGGAATAAGATAATAAAAATACAATTTCCTCACCTGCCTGCACCCCCATCATCACATTACTGTGTCCCAACTACAGAGGTAGAAAAATGTCATGAAGAGGGAGTGGATAAGATGGATATGGAGGGACTGAATCACCACCCTAAAGGTATAGGGAGGATGGCCTTTCTATTCTAGGTCCTGGTCATTTCTGGAAACCAGGACTCTTATCCCACTCTATGATATGTTTCCCATTCCCAAGCAAGATGACTTGTTTCCCCTTCTTCTTCTTTTTTTAAGATCAGAAATGTTTTAATTTTTTTTCATTGTTACCCATCTTCTCCCCCCCTCTCTACTCCAGCCCTGCCCGCAATGTACCCTTTGTTCCAGATTATTGTCATACATCCCCTTCTTTTTGCAGCTAAGAATCCCTGTTTCTGCCACTCCCCTGGTCTGTCTGCCCCACCCTGCTGTGCTGCTGGTGGACTCTATCCCAGGAACCCAGTCCAGGGGAGATCTCTGGTAGGCCTCTTTTCAGGCTCAGGGTGGGAAGAGAAGTGAAAACTCTGCGGGTGGCCCAGCTGGAACTGGGAAGCCCCTCTTTGTTTCATACAAAATTGAGATCAGATTTCTGGTGCTACTACATTTTGTAGAGAGTTCTCGAGGCCTAGTGAGTAAGGAGTTGCAGCGCCAACCCAAAAACAATCTCCTTCTGTGAGATTGAGTCTCTGAAAATCTGCTAGAGGGTTAACTATGAGTTGACTTCGATGGCAAAGAACAACTACATTCCACACTATTGGCCACTGCCCAGGATCAAGACAGGGTCAGAAAGAGTGAGGGAAAAGAGACTGCCCAACAAGGATTGAAGTTAAATGGGAGACAATCTTTTAAAGGTGTTGGTAAAGTTCGTAATTCTGTTAAATTAAGGGAGCCTGGCAATTCTCAGGGACACCCATAGGGAGGGAATTTATCCTTCTAGGAGAAGTGAGGGGTTCCTTACAATCTGGCAGCCAGTCTAATTCTGCAAAACTAGCGACCTTGGTGCTTTACTTTTGTTTTCGTTTTGGCGGGAACCCTCAAACCTGCCTCACTTCATTTGGGCCCCTTTCCGCCAGCATTATTCAGAACATCTGTAAAGAAATCCAAAGGGCTTAGCTGGTTTTCCAGGATCTTTTAGGATTCTGGGAGGGCAAGTAGTTGGGAAAGCAAGAGTGGAGATTCCCTAAAAGGGCAGGATGCTGGCCTACTAACCCAGCCTAATGACTTGAAACCAAACAGCAGCACTGAGACAGAAAAACCTGGCGAACTGGTTGAATAAAGATTGCTGCCAAGAAAACCCTATGGAGCAGTTCTATTCTCTACCACATGGAGTCGCTATTAGTCAGGCAGATTCCAAGGACGCTAACAAGCCCCGAAGGACAAGGTTCAGTCACTATTGAAGAGCAGCAGAACTACAGGGGGTCGGCCAAGGCAGGGGTTGTCAGGCAAGGAACTCCCCTCAGCCGAGCGTGTGCAGGGAACGCGGGAGGCGGGTGGCTGCTGCAGTACACACAGTAGCTCCCTAAGAGAAGTGCGAAAACATTGCGGTCAAGTTATGCGGGCTCAAGCCTCAACAAGCCAGTCAGGACAGACGGGAAGAACTGTCTGACAAAGCCCTTTTAAACGAAGGCAGTCATGCGCATTTAAATGAAAAGTGAAGCAGCAGCACAGAACCCGGATGTTGTCAGATTCGCGGACTGCAACGCCGCCAGCTTTCAAGAGGGCTGCCCTATTGTGTTAATAGGCGAGACGCCCACAAGAAGGCGCGCAGGCGCCACTTCCGCCCGGTTCTCCTTGCCGCTGTCTGCAGTGGGCGTAAGATGGCGGCGCTCAGGGCTGTCTGCACCCTCCGGGGTGTCACGGCCCAGGTGCTGCGGCCCGGGAGTGGGGTCCGACTGTCGATTCAGCCCAGCAGGTGAGACCTAGGACAGCTCTCTTAGCGGTTCCTAAAGACTAGGGTTTCTCTCGTCGGGAGCATTCTAGAGGCCCCGTGACTCCCCCAGCACCGAATGACCCAGGGCTGTGACCCTGCACCCAGGTCTCAGGACTTAGGATCTAGGATGCAGTAGCACTTACACAAATCAAGGAAGACAAGAGAGTCTTGAGCTTGGTCTCTCCTGTCTGCTATGGATAGAGTTAGTGGCTGGGAAACCTTCCCTTCCACATTGATTGTGTCACCTCTTTATGTCCTGCTGCCCTTCCCTACCCCCATCACGAGAGGGCAGGTTGCTACTGATGAGAAATCTCCTTGGAGACTGAGACACTGGGAGAAGAGTACTATGAATAAGAAAGGTTAGGCTCCCCAACCTTGCATGCACTGAGGTAATGAGAAAAGGGATTCCAGAAATAAGTGGTTAATAGAAATGGAACTCCTCGGGTTCCAGCCTGTTTCCCGGTAGAGCTTCACTTTTGTGTGTCGGTAACTTGGGACATTGAAGTATTCAAGATATCCTTCCATAGCCCCACTGAGGAATAAATGGGAACATGGAAACAAAGTATATTTTAGGCCCTTTGTCTAAGATATTTTAATTTCCCAGAGGTGCTCGACAGTGGCAGCCAGATGTGGAGTGGGCAGAGCAGTTTGGAGGAGCAGTCATGTACCCCTCCAAGGAAACAGCCCACTGGAAGCCTCCACCTTGGAATGGTGAGTATCTTGAATTGCTGTACCAACTTATCTCGCCCCTGTCCTAAGATTTTGAGATGCCTTTGGGCTCTTTTTAGGTTACTGCTCTTTGTTTTGTTGTTGTTGATTGCCTTCAAGTTGAGCACGACTCATAGCGACCCTATGAACAAAAGGCCTGAAGCTTTTGTATAACTATCGACATTTATCACAGTTCACAGAGTTTCCAGAGGCATGTTGTTTAGGAAGTGCATGCCACTCCTGCTTCCAAGCTCTTTCTTTTAGGCAAATTTAACCCTTATCCTTTGTTTTTTTGAGCACTCAAATCAACAAATATAGTTGTTGCTATGCACTTTCAAGTAGGAACCCACTCAGTTTACCTTCCATTGGGTTTTCAGAGGCAGCAAGTCACACAGGAGTAGAATGCCCATCTTTCTCCCAAGGAGCAGCCTTTGGGTTGGCAGTTCAACTCCTTACCAATAATAATAGCTATTGTCCAACTAAGGAAGGAAAGGAAGGGACTTAAAAGAAGTTTGCTACTGGTAGGTGCTGACGAATCGAGTACAACTCAGCAGCCCTATGAACAACAAATCTGAACCCTGTCTATCCTGCGCCATCCTCATCATCTCAGACATACTTGAATCTTTTGCTGCATTCTCTGTATCAGTCCACCTCATTGAGGGTCTTATCTTTCACTGATCCTCCACCTTTCCAAGCATGATGTCCCTTTCCAAGAAATAGCCTTTCCTAACAATATGCCTAAAATATAAGAGATGAACTTTGCCATCTTTGTCTCCAGCAAGTACTCTGGCCACACTTTCTCCAAGACATACCTGTTTGTTCTTTTATCAGTCACTAGGAACACTCTTCCGCTTTTAGTACATCTTTCTTTGTCAGTGTGCTGTATGAAGTAAACCTGGGTTGCTGTGATGCTGAACCTTGTGCCATGGGATATCAAATACCAGAATGGCTTCCCAATGTGGACAGTGTTTGGTGGAGCTCCTAGTTGTAAAACTGATTTGGCAGCAGGAGTGGCCATCCACTTCCTAAACCACATGCCTCTGGAAACTCTATGAACTTGGTGAAATGACGACAGTTACAGAAATGGTTGGGTCTTTTGTTCATAGAGTCACTATGAGTCGCACTCAACAGGAATCAACAACAACAACAACAGGATATTTAATACTCTTCTCCAATACTACAGCTCAAAGGGCATTGGTTCGTCTGTCATCCTTATTCATTGTTCAGCTTTCAAATGCAAAGCAAGTGTTTGAAAAAGACTATGGCCTGAATCAGGTGCACCTTAGTCTTCAACCTGGCATCATTGCTTCTCTGTAAGAGAAAGGGTAAAATCCCACCAGTGACTGAAGGTATCAGATTTCAATTTCAGCTTCAGGAATTTTTTTTTCCTTCTTCTAGAGATGTATTGTCACATTTCCAGTTCTCTTTTTGGACATAATGATTTTACCACCACCATCTAAATGAAACCAGTCTAAATAAAAACATTTTCCTCAATCAAAATTAGCTTTCCCCCTGGTTTGTCTATTTTGAGAATTAGCTTCATCATTCTCATTCCTCAGGATTGAAATTCTGACCTTTTTGGCTCTTTTTCTCTCTTGTTCCCTATGTCCATGTCAAATAATTTATCAAGCTTTGTAGATTTTTTTGTACTTTCTTATATGGTCATCTCTCCCATTTAGTCTCTTTGTCATCACTTGAGTTAAGATTTCTTTTGTATTAAAAAAGTTTGAACTCATTGCTGTCAAATTGGTTTCCACTCACAGCAACCCTCCACTGGGTTTCTGAGACTGTAAATTACAATGGGTGGAGACTGCCCATCCTTCACCCTCAGGTAGGTTTGAACCACCAAGGACACAGTCTTTGGGTTAGCAGCATCACTCACTGTAAAATCTGCCTGCAGTGCTCCCAGCTATCTTGTATTCACTCACTCATTGCTGTTGAGTTGGGACCAACTCATAGTTAGCTCTGTATTGGGTATCCTAGGCTGTAAATCATATAGGAGGAGATTGTCCATCTTTTGCTTGTGAAGCTGCTAGTGGATCTGATACCCGAGAGAGGCACAGCCTTTGGATTAGCAGTATCACTCCCTACAAATTATGCCACCATACACCCCTTACTATTTTATATTGTTGTTATGTGCCTGTGCTGTTATATGTGTTGTTATGTCACTTGTGACTCAACCTTATGGATAACAACTATGTTGTACAACTCTAGGTACAATAACTCTTAAACTCTGCTCTATCTTGAGCCAATTTCGTTGTCTCTGACACACCTAGCCCCCCGTTACCCCAGTCACTGAGTCAGTCCATCTCATCCAGGGTCTTCCTCTCTTGCACTGTCCCTCCACCCTTCCAAACATGATATCCATCTCCAAGGACTGGTCCCTCTTGGCAACATGTCTAAAGTATGTGAGACAGAGATTCAAAGTCCTCCAAGGAGCAGGCTGTTTTCACTTGGTCTCCAAGACGTACTTGTTTGTTCTCTTAAAGGCATCGATTCATCTTCTGTCATCCTTAGTCGTTGTCCAGTTCTCTGATGTATAACAAGTAATTGTGAAGACCATGGCCTGGACCAGGTGCACCTTAGTCTCTAGACTTATGTCATTGCTCTCCAGTCCTCTGGAGAGGTCCCTGACAGCAGATTTTCCCAGAGCAATTTGTCTTTGGTTTCTTGGCTGCTGGTACCAAGAGTGTTGATGGTAGAGCCAAGCAAACTGAAACTGTTAACCATCTCAATCTCTTCACCTTCTATCTTGATGTTGCCAATTGGCCCAGTGGTGAGACTCTGTTTTCTTGGTGTTGAGCTTCAATTCATATTTAAGGCTTTAATCATTTACTTTCTGCAGCAAACACCTCATGTCCTCCTCAGTTTTGGCAAGCAAGTTGTGTTGTCTGCATAATGCAAGTTGTTGATGAGTCTTCCTCCAATCCTGATGCCACATTCCTCTTCATAGAGCCCAGCCTTCTGGTTAATCTGTACTGCATATAGATTGAAAAGGTATGGAGATAAGATGCATCTTGGCATACACCTTTCCTGATTTTGAACTATGCCATGTTTCCTTGCTCTGTTCTGGTGACTGCCTCCTGCTCCAAGTATAGGTTTCACATAAGCACGATCTTGTATGTGGTATTAGTGATATTTTTTGATAATTTACACACTCATTGGATCACCTATTTTTTGGAATGGGAATAAATATATATCTCTTCCAGTCAGTTGGCCAGGTGGTTGTCCTCCAGGTTTTTGGGCATAAACTAGTGAACACATCCAGGACAGCATCTGTTTGTTGAAATATGTCAAATGGCATTTCATCAATTCCTGGGGGCTTGCTTTTATTTCTTCAGAACAGCTTAAACTTCCTCTTCCTTCATCACCAGAGGCTCTTGATCATATGTTGTTTCTTAACATTATTCTGTGTCAGCCATTTCTTTCTGGCATAGTGACTCCTTGTATTCTTTCCATCATCTTTGGATGCTTCCTGGATCATTCAACATTCCACTCACCACATCCTTAAATATTGCAACTCGAAGCTTGATTTTTTTCCCCCTTCAGTTCTTTTAGTTAAGAAATGCTGAACAAGTTCGTCTTTTTTGATTTTCCATCTTCAGCTCTTTGCACATTTCGTTATAATACTTCGCTTTGTCTGCGAAGTATTGCTGCCCTTTGAAATCTTCTATTCAGGTCCTTAGCATCTCGATTTCTTCCCTTTGCTTTGGCTTCTCAGAACTCTAGTACAATATTCAGAGTCTTTTCTGACATCCGTTTTGGTTTTTTCTTCTTCCTCCGTCTTTGTAATAGCCTTTTGCGGTCTTCCTGAATGATATTCTTGATATCTTCCCACAGCTCATTTGGCCTTCTCTTATTAGTATTCAGGGCCTGTTTCTGAGATGACCTTTAAATTCTGGAGTCTTGGACTCAAGGTCAAACTTTGGTTCTTGTGGATTTGATTTTATTTTCTTTGGCTTCATTTTTAATTTGCAGATGAGTATTTTATGACCCAATCCACAATCAGCACCTGGCCTAGTATTCACAGCTGATATGGAGCTTCTCCAGCCATATTTCCCACAGATATAATCAATCTGGTTCCTGTATAGGCCATCAGGTGAGGTCAATGTCTTGAGTTGCCATTTGAGTTTCTTTTTTTTTTTTAGTTTCTTATAAAAGGTATTTGCAATGAATAAATCATTGATTATATAGAATTCTGTTGTTCTGTCTCCAGCCTCATTTCTCTCACCAAGTCCATATCTCCCGACTACTGACTCTTCTTCCTTGTTTTCAACTTTTGCGTTCCAGTCACTCAGTATTACTAAGGTATCTTGGTTGCATGTTCGATTATTTTCCGTTGCATCAATTGGTAGAAGTCATCACTTTTCTCCTCTTTGGCTTTGGTTGTTGATGGTGGTTTTAAAAGGTCTTCCTTGTGTGTGTATGGATATTATCCTGTCACTCGCAACATTGTATTTAGTGATGGATCTAGAAATGGTCTTTTCAACTATGAATGTTACCCCACTTTTTTTCACCTTTTCATTTCCAGCATGTTGTTGTTGTTATGTGCCATCGAGTCGCCTACGACTCATAGCGACCCTATGTACAACAGCCCTAAACTCCGCTCTGTCCTGTGCCAATCGC